TCATCCCAGGGAAATCCCTCAAATCATCTTTTTCAAGTTCCTTCCCCTTTGTTCCCTTCTGTCCCAGGCTTTGGCGTGCTCCCGAGTGCGTGTCCGTTTTCCCCATCCTTCGTTGTCCGTTGTCTTTGAGCTCTTGTTCGTGTTCGTGGTTATCTTGCGCTTCCTGTTCCACATCAACCTACTTCCCTCTTCTTCTCTTCTTCCCGTTGCGTCAGTTTCCCTCCTCCCTCTTCTTCGTCTCTCATTCACGCCTTCCTCTCTCCGCCTCCCTCATGCGTTTCCGTCTCCGCCACCCCTCGCTGATCGTTATCTCGGGTCGATATTGTGTGTTTGATTCTCTTGTGTCTCCCGTTATACGTCCTCTTTTCTCTCCCATTACCTTCTCTCCGTTGCGTCCGTTTCCCTCTTCCCTCCTCCCCGTTTCTCTTTCACGCCTAGTTGTTCAATGATTTTGACCCTTCGAGGGCTTACCCATAGCACTTGGGGTACTCATGAGGGCCCCGTGGGGCGATCGTGGGTGCTCTTGGGGGCCTCCAGAGCCAACCTGAAAAAAACGAGTTTCCACACATCTGTTTCTTTCGAGGTCGACCTCCCCCCATACGTTCCCTCCTGTCAAAGGTTTCTGCGTGCCCCCGAGTGCGTTTCTGTTTCCCCCATCCCTCGTTGTCCTTTCTCGTTGCTCTCTCTCTCTCTCTCTCCTGCTCTTGGTTTTTGTGCGTCTCACAGTCCGCAGTATCCTTCCTCTCCGCCTCCCTCCTCCACTCTGCGCCATTTCCTCCGTCCCTCCAACTCGTCTCTCCTTCACGCCTTCTTCTCTCCGCCTCCCTCATGCGTTTCCGTTCCCCCCCCTCCCTCATCCTCATCTCTTCTTCATTCCTTCTTCCCTCCACCGCCCTCACTCAGCATCCTGCCCCACTCAGTGGTAGGAGGCCCAGCTTGAAAAGAAATTGATATCCCTCAATGTGTTGTTCAAGCTCATTCCCCCCTTTGTTCCCTCCTGTTCCAGGCTTTGGCATGCCCCCGAGTGCGTTTCCGTTTTCCCCATCCTTCGCTGTCCGTTCTCTTTGATCTCTTTTTCTTGTTCGTGGGTCTCCTGCGCTTCCCGTTTCACATTCACCTCCTTTCTCTCCGCTTCTCTCCTCCCCGCTGCGTCATGTTCCCTTCTCCCTGTTCCTCGTCTCTCCTTCACGCCTTCCTCTCTCCGCCTCCCTCATGCGTTTCCCTCCCCACTCTCCCTCATCTCTCCTTCACGCCTTCGTCTCTCCGCCTCCCTCCTGCGTTGCCGTCTCCGCCACCCCTCGCTGTTCGTGATCCCAGATCTCTCTTTTGCTCATAGTTCTCCTGCGTCTCCCGTTCCACGTCCTTGTTCCTCTTCCGCTCCCCCCCCGTTTCCTCTTGTCCCATGCTTGGGCGTTCGTGCCCCAGACTGTGTGTTTCCGTTTTCCCCATCCCTCGCTGTCCGTTCTCTTCGATCTCTCTCTCTCTCTCTCTCTTGTTCTTGGTTCTCCTGCACGCCTTCCTCTCTCCACCTCCCTCATGCTGTGTCGGCTCCCCAACGCTGCAAGACGGCTCAAGAGGTCCCCAAGACAGCACCAAGACAGGCCAAGAGATCCCCGCGACGGCCCGACTACGACGCAAGAGAGCGCCAAGACGGCCCCAGATGCCGCCACGACGGCCCAAGAGGCCCTCAAGACGGCCCCAAGACAGGGGCAATAGCCGGGATCCAGCCGTCGTTTCGAGCCCAGATGCCAAAAGCCCCAGGGACGCCCCCGAAGCGCCCCAAACAAGTTTTACGAGGCCACCGGGAGACTCCCAACAAAAATTAAGGATGCCCCACCCCCCTAAACCCCCCAAAGCCCCAAATAACGTCCCCCAAAGGCATCCAAAAGGCCTCCCAGCATGGTTTTGCCAGGCTCTCAGGGGTTCTCGGGCATCCCCCTTAGGCTGCCCTGGGTCCTCACCTTGGATGCCTTGCGCGACTTCGTGGAGCCTTAATCAGCGCCTCCTGAAGCATTTACCAGGAAGTACGCTCCCATATGGTCACCCTTGCGGGATGATGTCCATGCTCATCCGATCGCGTGAGGTTGGCTTGGACTGCGCTAGAACCATCGCGCGCGCGAAGCGCATTCGTGGCTCTAGTATGCATATAGACATACAGACACACATATATATATATATATATAACAGTATATCTAGATTATGCCATGCATATTATCTGGTGTATACATATACATCTACATACATATGTTTGTACGGCCGATTCCAGCTCCAGGTGTCCCCTTCTGCGCTGGTCCATCGAAGAAACGACAGCACGGCAAGCATAAACTTCCGGGCCTCCGCGCGGACTTCTTGGACCTGCGCCCGATCCCTCTGCTGGCGCCTCCGCTCCTCCGGCGCCGCGGGATGTGCCCGTGAGGCTGCAGACCCTGGAGGATTCCTTATCTGATGAGGGCAGTGGTGATGTCCATAAGCCTCAATTGGAGTTCCACCGGCTTCCAGACCCCAGATTCCTGATCCACTGCCCAGGCCTCCTGGATGGGGTCGGAGCAGATAGGGTCGGAGGATCGCGCCGCATCGCTGATGCATCGGCGATGCGGCTCGATGTGGAGCCCGATTTTCTCCACGCCGATGGCGCCGATGCGTCGCCGACGTCGCCGATGCACCGCCGATGCGGCGCGACTCTCCGACCCCGTCTGCTCGGACATCCAGGATGCCTCTGCAATGGCTCCTTGCCCCCGCTGCCCTCGCCACGCAGCGCAGAGCCCGGGAGTCCGTGCGGGCCTCCCGAGGGCCGCTGCGGAAGCAGCGCTCGCTTCGGCGACCTCCGGCCAGAGCCCGCGGGGCCTGGCGAGTGGAGCTCCCGGGGCGCCACCGGCCTTGGGGGTTCTGCGAGGGCCGGCCACAGCGCCGTTTAGCTTGGTGTGGGCCCTCGTGTTTTTCGCCCTCGTTTTTCGTTGTTGTTCCGTGTTGTTGTTCGTCGTTGTTTTGAATGCCCCGTCTCGTCGTTCGTTTTCGTTTGGCACCGGTTTCGTTTGAGCGTTCGTTTTGAACGTTGGGCCTCGTCTCGTTGTTCGTTGTAACCGATATTTCGTTTTGAACATCGTTGTTGTCGGTCTCTGGGTTTTTGACCCTACACGTTGGTCGCCGCAAGTATGTATTTCTGGATTTCCAGATCCAAATCTACTTCAAGCGCCCTCCTATTTCAATACTCGGTATGCTTTTTCGGTATGTTTGTGATTTTCTGGGAGGGGGCCTGGACCAAGTCTACTTTGTCCGCCTTTCTACTTCATGTTTTGACCCACTTCTTCCGACCGACGTGTATGCCCAATTTCAAGGATCGAGGTTCGAAGATTCAGGTTTTGCGTCCGCGGGGGACATTTCTACACCGTTCCGCGTTGGCGTCTCCCGAGGCATCGTCGATCTTCAACCCAGGAATGCACGGTGCATAGTTGTTCGGCCCGCAGAGCCGAGAACAATTCTTTTTGTTTCGAGCGATCCCCACCGAAGCCGTCTGCGTTTGTTCCCAACGGTGCGCGCGCTTACCGGAACCATGTGCGCGGGGCCCGGCCATCTCGGCCAGCGCATCGGCCGGGCCAGGTCGCAAGTTCATGTCTCCCCATCGCCTAACAGTCCCAGGGCCCCCGGCGAAAGAAACCGAAACAAGTCCCTGGAGCAACAAACCAGCCCCCAAAACGCGTCTTGCGAGACCCCAAGATCAGGAGGAGAAAAAACACACAGACACACTTAATCGTCGACTCCCCAGAAAATATGGGAAAATATGGGAAGTGGGGGGGAAGACAAAAAACAAAAAATATGGGACATATGGGGAATCCTTTTATTTGTGTGTATTTATTTGTGTCCCGGGGCCCCTTCACAAGAACTTGTTCGGAGAGGATCTGCAGCCTGTGGAGAGAGGAAGAAGAGCAGCAGCACCCGCACGAGGAGCAGGCGGACGACCCAGGAGCAGGAGAGGGGGTGAGCCGCACTGCCTCCTCTCTCCTGCTCTGGACGCCCAGTCCAGGCCAGCCACAGCTGGGGGAGCTGTGGTCCGTACCCCCCTAGGGGACCCATCGATTTCGACACCACGCTCGAAAGTTCGTCGATGCGATGGGTTCCCCCAGGGGGGTAAGGACCACAGCTCCCCCAGTTATGGCTGGTCGGCAGTCCTTCTCTGGCGACGGGGTGCATGTCGCGTTTGATGAGACGCCGTGAAGTGGTGGCTCGCATCTACGTGAAAGTGTACCATACGGCGGTGACCCATGCCAAGGAACACCCTGCTTGCCACCATGGTGCCTTGGGTTTCCTGGCTGTCGATGGTCTTGCTGTGGGAAGCGCGACGTTCCCACACCAATCATCAATGGACGTCCTGGGGTCTCAGGGTTGGGTTTCTTGTGGAAGGTTTCTTGCGGTCGGGCTCCCACTGTATTATGCTGTATTCGATTATGCCCCGGTGTAGCATATGACATTATGGAATGTTAATGTATGTTGTGGACGGGTCGGCGCGACGTCGTGACGCTTGTCACGTCTAGTATGCCTTCTAATCTGCCAGCTTGGGCTTGGCGCGCACGTCGCAGATGATGGACTCATGGAAGTCGACTAATGGAGAGGAAACATGTTGCCAGATATTTTCCAGATGTCAAATGTTTCAAACACGTTTGTTTAAAAACAAAAACACGGACCTCCGGGGCTTTCCTGGAGTAGTGGATGTCTAAGCTCAGGGAAGACGTGCTCAAGTTGTGACCAGCTACACGTGGGCGCGCCAACATAATCCATAATGTCTTGCACTGGCGCGCATTATTTGCCGAACTCTTCGAGGTCATCCGACCACCTGCAAGAAATTACGCGGCACAGTGCTTCAGTGGTCTGCCCAGCGTGCCCACGACATCCGATGCGTCATGAAAGCGTGGGGCACACGCTTTCCTCAGGAAGCGTGCCAGCCGTTGAACCTTCCAGGTCACGGCTGACAGCGTTCAACTTGCAGCCCGATTCCTCCGCTTTTGAGTTTGGCTCCAGCGGGCCTGCGGACGCCGTTGCTCCACGCGCTGCGGGCCTTGGTCGGGATGGGCAGCTCGGCGGCTGGCTCGCGACGGCCGATCGACGACTGCTGCGGGGCGGGGGCGCTGGCGGCGCTGCGCGGGCTGTCGCGGAAGCGCCGCCGACCGCCGGCCATCTCCACGCGGAGCCCAGAAATCGGCGGCGGCGCGCCCGAGCAGCGGGGCATCCTCGGGTGGGTGGCGAAGCCCGAACCCCACCCTGGCCAATCCAGGGTTCGAGCAACTCGACGGGCGGGGCGGGGGCAGTGTTCGGAATGCGTCGAACCCGTGGCGGAATCCGAACCCTACGGTGGGGGCGCTGGTTAAGGAACGTGCACGGGAGGCTTCAGACCCTGGGAGAATTCCGTATTTGACGAGGGCAGCGGTCATACCCATGGCCAGGCCTCGATTGGAGGTCCACCGGCCTCCAGAACCTGGATTCCTTGTCTACGGGTTCCTTCTCCAATGCCCCCGCCGTATCCCCTGAGATCCGACGTCGTTACTTTTCCATGCGGGGTCTCCGGAAGTCTCGACCCCTTCCCCAGCACCGGTTTTTCCTCCCGAGTCGTTCCTTGACGGTCCAGGACGCCGGCGAGGGCCCTTCGAGGCCGAAAAACAGGAAAAGCCTCGGTCCTGATTTTCTCAACGCCGTTGGATCTCTTGGATCCCCGCCCCCCATCGATGCAGGAGGACCGCTGGTCGGCGGGGGCGGGGCTCGTTCGCCGCCGCCGCTCAGGGGCGCGGCCGAGCTGCTGCCGGCGAGCCCGGGCGGCGCCCGGCGGGTCCGGTCGGCGGAGGCGCCTGCAGGAGGGAAGAAAGCACACACGCACAGGGAATCGCAGGAGGGGGAAAGACACACAGAGACACAATGAATCGCCCACTCCCAGGAAAACATGGGGAAAGGTGGGCAGTGGGGGGGAAGACAGAGACCCAGAAAATATGGGAAAACATGGGGGATTGTTTCGTTTGTGTGTGTGTATTTATTTGTGTGTCCCAGGGCCCCTTCAAGAAAGCACACACGCACAATGAATCTTAAGTCGGGCCTGTCCCCCTACAGGGGGATTGTCGACGAGAAATCAAAAACACCCCAAAAATAGTCAAACCATAATCCAAAAAGAGTCTGGGGATTTTTTATTTTTTTTTGTATGTTTTGACCTTGTTAGGGGCATTTTTGGGGTACTTTTTTCCGCCGAAAATCCCCCTGCAGGGGGACAGGCCCGACTTAACATGAATCGTCGATTCCGCAGAAAATATAGGAAAATATGGGAATCGGGGGGGAAGACGAAAACCTTTGTGTGTATTCAGGGCCCCTTCAGCAAAGGGCGGCAGGAGCACGAAGGCTCGGAGTGCCGCGCGGGGTTCTCGGATCGGCGCCCGGGGCGGCGCGAGAGGCGCCGGAGTCCTCCCATGTTTTCATTGTTGTTTTTATTGGTTACTGTTTTTGTGTGTGTGTGTGTGTGTATTGTTTGTTTTTATTGCTGATTTTTGTTTCCCCTCCTCTCTGCTGTTCGTTGCAGTGGGGGCCCACGCCAAGAAGCACCCTCCTTGCCTCCAGGGTGCCGTGGGTTTCCTGGGTTTCGGTGGGTTTGCTGTGGAAGGCGTGACGTGACCACACCAGAAATCAGTGGACGTTCTGGGGTTTCAGGGTTGGGTTTCTTGCGGAAGGTTTCTTGTGGACTGGCCCATATTGTCAGAGTGAGGGGGCCGAACGGTCATTCACTGTCCCTGGGTGCGTGGCTGAAGTGGAATTCCGCGGTGCGGATTCTCGTTGTTGTTGTTGTTGTTGTTGTTGCTGTTGTTGTTGCTGTTGCTGTTGTTGTTGTTGTTGTTGTTGTAGTTGTTGTTGTTGTTGTTGTTGTTGTTGTTGTTGTTGTGGTTGTTGTTGTTGTTGTTGTTGTTGTTGTTGTTTTTTGTTTGTTTGTTTGTTTGTTTGTTTGTTTGTTTGTTTGTTTGTTTGTTGTCGTCGTCCCACCCGCAACCCGCCTCGCGACCCACCCCGCGACACACCCCGCGACACACCCCGCGACCCACCCGCGACCCACCCGCGACCCACCCGCGACCCACCCCGCGACCCACCCCGCGACCCATCCCGCGACCCACCCCGCGACCCGCCCCGCGACCCACTCCGCGACCCGCCCGCGGCCCACCCCACGATCTACCCGCGACCCACCCGCGACCCACCCGCGACCCACCCGCGACCCACCCGCGACCTACCCCGCGACCCACCCGCGACCCACCCGCGACCCAAACCACGTTCAAGGTACAAACCACTATTTTCGGCGCTTGCGGCGGGCTTTTTTGGCATTCCTTCTATGTGGAGGGCCCGCGACCCACCCCGTGACCAACTCGCGACCAACCCGCGACCCAAACCACGTTCAGGGTACAAACCACATTTTTCGGCGCCTGCGGCGGGCATCTTTTGCATTCGTTTCAGGTGGAGAGCCCGCGGCCCACCCGCGACTACGTTCAGGGTACAAGCCACTTTTTTCGGCGCCTGCGGCGGGCATCTTTTGCATTCGTTCCCGGTGGAGAACCCGCGGCCCACCCGCGACCCAAACCACGTTCAGTGTACAAACCAATTTTTTTGGCGCCTGCGGCGGGCTGCTTTTGCATTCCTTCCAGATGGAGGTGGAGAGCCCGCGACCCACCCGCGACCTAAACCACGTTCACTGAACAAACCAATGCCGCACAAGCGCGGCGGCGGATTTTTGCATGCCGTCTGAGCCCGCAAGGACCTCTTCAAGCCCCGCGCATCCACACCAGCCCGTCCAGCAACTCTGCCCTGGCGAGTTGCCTTGATCAGAGAAGGCGGGGAGCATTAAGTGGGACAAAAATTGCGTTGCAGTTGTCTTGGGAAAAGAGGGGGAGGCAGGAGGAGTAAACAGGGGACGAGGAGAAAGCGGAAGAAGAGAGGATGTAAGGATAATGTGGAGGAAGAAGAAAAGGAGGAGCAGGATGACGAGGAGGGCGGGGAGGGGGAGGAGGGGGAGGAGGAGGACGAGGAGGGGGAGGAGGGGGAGGATGATGATGATGATGATGATGATGATGGACGACAATGGGAGGACGATGATTGAGGCCGGTGAGGGTGAGGACGACACTGGGAGGACGATGATGAAAGGACGAGGGGGGGAGAGGGAGGACGAGGAAGAAGAGGAGGAGGAGGAGGAGGAGGAGGAGGAGGAGGTGTTAACATGCAAGCATGCGTGTGACAGGGGAGGAATAGTAACCCCGCTGCCTTTGGCTCAAGTGTTTAACGGTCGAAGTCACATCGACCAGTTGCGCAGTTCGGGAGTATAAAGGTGACCTATCGTTATCATTGTCGCCAAGCTCCCGTGCAGAACCCTCCTCGGGGTTTTGCATGGTAGCGGAGCGCGGTTGCCATGGCAGCGGCAGCGGCAGCTGCGGCCAGACCTGGACAGGGCGACCCGCCAGTTAATCTCAATGTGCCGGCAGACAGAGATGCTTGGGTCAACATGGATCCGAATCGATTCAACGACCTGTGCGAGCAAGCATACGTGAACGGAGACTTCAGTTACGTTCAAACGGCGCTACTCGCAAACCACTTTGGGCTCGCAACGTTCATTAACGAGCGAGTAGCACAGGACCGAAGGGAGGTATCGAACGCCGAAGCATTCCAAATGTTACAAAGTGCCCACAAGACCAACAGTATGCTGTTAGCGATCACGAAGAGAAATGCTGCGCTCGAAAGAGATGCTCGCAGATTAGTGGAAAGAGTCACCGAGTTGGAGACTAACAGTGAAGTACAAGAAAAGTTAATCGAAAGGTTCGGTCAGATCTCGGAAGCAATCAAAGGAGGAAGCGGAAACAAGCACGGGAGCAGTAAACCGATAAGCGAATATAAAGCGTTACAGGCGCTAAAGAACTTCAGTGGGGAAAGAGCGAAGTTCAGAGACTGGAACGACAAATTCTTGAACGCACTAGCCCAAGTGAAGCCGAGTTACCGACCGGCACTGAAAATGCTAAACAAGAAGCTGGAGACGCTTGACGGAGTTGTACCAGAAGAGGACGATGATGACATCATACGCATAATGAACGGTCGATTAACTGCAAGCGAGTACCTGAAGGCAAGTCAAGCCAAGCAAGCCGAGGACGACAACAAAGGCGAATATGAGTTTACCGAAGGAGACAAGACTCAGATGGAAGAAGACTTATGGTACATTCTGAACGAGAAACTTGAAGGTGCGGAGGCCAGAGGAAAATTAAAGGGACTGATGGATGGAGACGGAATCATGGCTTGGCAAAAGGTTTACAAATGGTACTCGGCAGTAACCGGAGCGACCTTATCATCAAAAATGACGCATGCCATGAATCCTGAACCGCCCAAGAAGATCACCGACACCGTTACCCGACTTGAGGAATGGAGCGCATTGGCAGAAAATCTTGAGAAATATGGCAAAGATTACTCGCTGCCTCTTCCTTTCAAAGTCACCGCGCTCAGGGCCATAATGGTACACGCGAATGACTGGTTTGACGAATGGCAGCAGGCATGTTGGCGAACGCCTGACGCGCTTAACATTGACTCATTTCAGAAATTGTACTCAATGTGTGAAGACTGGGCGCGTAAAAAGAAACTTGACTCAGATGCAAAAAATAAGGATGCAATGGGCATTGGAAATATCAACGAGATGAGTCAAGGGTCCGAAAACGTTTGGGACCAAACAGGATGGGTTGACGAAGATGGAAACTGGTGGTCAGAGGATGGATCGTGGAATCACGGGTCCTGGGCCAATGAAAGTGACGGTGGAGAATATGAAGAAATTGACGCCGTAAACAAAGGTAAGGGTAAAGGAATGGGCCCCAGGTGTTACAATTGTGGAGGCATGGGCCATTTAGCCAGGAACTGCACGAGGCCCAAGCAGTTCACCAAAGGAGGTAAAGGTGGCAAAGGCGGAAAAGGCAAAGGTTACCGAGCCACTTACGGATCTTATGTGAAAGGTAAGATCGGAGGCAAACAGAGAGGTAAAGGAAGTAGCTCGTGGGGGGGAAGCTACGGAAGCCAAGGGAAATTTACCCCGCACAGTGAGCGCGAATGTTACAAGTGTGGCGGAAAAGGGCATATTGCCATTAACTGCCCGGGCTCCAAGAAGACCGTCAACGAAGTTGAGCAAGAGAAGCCTGTAGTAAACACCGAAACTGAACAAACCACCTCGTTCGGTCAACCACAGCGCGTTCTCAGCGTCGAGATGAAGGAAGCAATGAACGTGTCGCTAGACCAGACTGCGAGCGAGGAGGTTAACGAGAAATGGGACCTGCCCTATTACGCCAGAAAGAAGACGGCGCGTGACAACGCGGTAAACATGAGAAGGATCTATCAGGAACACCATTACGACGGAGACCGTTACCATACTAGTCAGTGGGATCAAAGAATAAGTAAAAGCGTGAGGCAGGAAAAAAGTTGGCTGGCGAAATGCAAGGAAATTGGACTAATTGAGATGCGGGGAGGTGATCCGGAGATTAACGCAGTACCGCCACCAAGTGCAACACATGAGACGATCGTGGTCACCGTGGACTCCGGCGCCTACAACACAGTGGGGCCCCCCAAAGTTGGCACTCATTTCCCCATTAAGCATGCGGACGCGTCAAAGCAGGGACGACACTACAGTGCAGCAAATGGAACCACGATAAAGAATTATGGTCAACGCGTGATCACAGGTAAAAATGAGCATGGGAACGCAGTCAGTATGCCAATTCAGGTGGCAGAGGTCAACAAAGTCCTAGGGTCGGTAAGAGAGATGGTAAACGCTGGAAACAGAGTAGTGTTCGACAAGGATCCTAA